AAGTAATGAGATTAACCCTAAATTTTCCAAAAGGATTGGGAGTAGGTAGAATAACCAATGAGTTCAGCTTTTTTACTACATATCATCACATAAATTGACCAGCTAATAGCAGAAACAAACAGGAGACTTGCTTTTTTGCAAGAGAGATCTACTGCTAACACATCCCCACTGTCATGAAACGTGGTTTAGTGAGAAGGAGGCAGAATTTCAATCCCCACCGATGTCCTTGGCCAGGTGCCATTATACATGGTAGAACTGTACAATGCACATTAAAGCACTATGCTCAGGAGAGTAAGAAATGCAAATCAAGGGGAAATACATATTTAAATCACACATCTAACTCCTCCTTGAGAACCTTAAAGCAATCAATTCTTTTTAAATAAGAAAGAAACTAAGTCAATAGCATCTGAGCAACAGACGAAAATTAAAGCAAAATCTGTTGACTAATGGTGACAGCTTTTGTGTTCCTTGCAGTTGAAAATGTGCATGTAGCAGCAACTCCAATATGCTCACAAACTTACATGCAAAACGCCTTGAAAAACAGTTGCTATTTTTACACCAAAGATAAAAATCAAACATCACCTATCATATCTTAATTTTGCTAACACAGTAAAAGAAAACAAAGTTAGTTGTCTAAACTACCTGGGCCCCATGATTTCTACCACAGGAAAATAAATCATAAATTGGACCCAAAAGGAGGAATAAGTTATGAAGCATGGTCAGTGGCATGTAAACCCATTAGGACAAATCATCTGACCTAAAATATCAAGTTAGGGCTTCATTTGGTAATATTCCTAAACTGGGATCTGTCAAGCCCGAACAGTTTTATACATATACACTATTTTAGTGACATCTATATATTTTTAATAACAAAGAGGAATCTTTTTACCTTAAAATTACTATGTTATTGTAGAAGTATTCATCATCATCATAAAATAATATTAGTTTTCTCTTGATGTTGTAACCTATTACCACAGAGTTAGTGGCTTACACCACAGAATAGGCTAAAATAAAGGGGTTTATAGGCTGTTTTCCTTTATGGAGGCTATCTAAAGGGCAAGGCTATCCTTGCCCTTTTCTATCATCCAGAGACCACCCACATTGCTTGGATTGTGGCCTTATACCCTCATCTCAAAGCCCTCAACACCAAATTTTTCTGGACTTTCCTTTCATGGACACATTTTCATTTTAAAGATCCTTGAGCTTACTCTGGACTCAGCAGGAGGTGCAGTGCTCACCTTCTCTTAAAAAGTCAGCTGATCAGAAACCTAAACTCTCCTTTGCCACACAGCAGACATATTCACAGGAACCAGGAACCAGAACTTGGACATGGACATTGTTAGAGACTCATCACTCTGCTGACCTCGTCATTCACCTTGAATGTTTATAAATTGCCAGGCATGGTTTTAAGCATATGACACATAATTAAAGCACTAAAATTCTCATGATAAAACAAACTCCACTATTAGTCCCACTTTTCAGATGAGAAAATCAAGACAAAGATATAAACTTGTTCAACATCAGTGAGAAAATGTAAAGAAGAGGAGTCAAGATTGAACGTAAATGTCCACAAGACAGAGTTTAAACTTTTAACCTCTATACTTCATAACTTCAAGGGTGATGCTCATTTAAAAACATTGCAATTGCACAAGGCATTATTATCAGCATGCTTAACTCACAGTCCATAAATTCTGGCAATTATAATAATTTCCCAGTGTAAGAGCACATTTGAAACTCAAAATGCCAAATATAAAGACAGAGTCTATAGAGACCACAAAAATCAAACCCCTTTCTATTGAGAGACTTGTCCACAGATGCCATTATTATTTGTGTCCCTAAATATATCTCTTTGGAATGTCAAAGGCCTTTTATAATATTATTAAGCATATATATCATTTATAATACATTATGTATACACATATATATTCACACTGTCAAATATCCAAATATGTGTGTGTTTTTTCTCTCTCTTGAAAACTTAACATTCAATCACAAATACTTCCAAATACATCTCCTAAGAAAGATATCTCCTAGGGAGTTATAAGTGATCCCAAATTAGCCCATGAGTTATTACTCTCATCTTTCACCTTCAGTCCTTAGAAAATCAGAGTAGAGATCAAGAGAAAATTTTTCTTTATAAAAAAATTATAGGAATAAATGGTGTAGTAGAAAGTTATACTTTCCTCCTCTTCCCACAGTTAAGTGAGGGGGTTACATGAAAGTCATTTATGAGAAATGGAAAGGAATTGTATGAAAGAGTGATCCTATTTACAAAAATATGTTTGGTTGGTGATTTGCAACCATTACTGACCATTCTTAAGAGAACATTACAGTGTTCTTGGGAAAGTTTAGTGTGCGATTCCAGAGTTGAGGGGTCACAGAGGTGGTATTTGCCTCTGCCTTGGAGAAGACTGAGGATGTGAGGCTTTGGAGTAATTTCTATGGCAAGTGTGGTAAAAAGGGAGTAGTGAGAACAGTCTGTACTTGTGTTACATGGAGGGGCACTACTGTAACACTGTTGTTCATCAATTTGCTCGAGTGGGCACCAGTAACATCTCCATTATGAGACTTTTGTTACTGTTTTTGGCATATCAAATATGCCACAGAGAGCTTGCCAGGCTCTGCCATGCAGGCCAGATACTCTTGGTAGCTTGCCAGGCTCTCCGAGAGGGATGGAGAGACTGAATCCAGGTTGGCTGCATGCAAGGCAAACATCCTGCCCACTGTGCTATTGCTCCATGGAGGCACAAGAGAACAGTAATTCCAGAAAACCAAGCAGACATGATAGAAGATTAGGCTAAACACAATTCATGCTGTTACCCCCTCAGCAGCCCTACATGAGACTATTTAGTCTGATAACTATAATCAGCACTATAGGACGTGAGTAATACCTCATTTTTAGGTTCTTGCATTGGGCCATTAGCCCAGTTGGCTAAGAATTATCGGTAGTTCTTCTTCAATATGGTCCAATAATACTACTTCTTGAACAGCTACCCCCAACACAAAAACAATTATTAGAAAGGATATATGCACATCTATGTTCATTGTTGCATTTATACAATAACCAAGATATGGAAACAACTCAAATGCCCAACTACAGATGAAGCAGTTGTGTTAGATACACAGAATAGAATACCATGCAGCTCTAAGAAAGAACAAAATCATGCAAATTTCCATAGATGGAAGCAGAGGATATCATGCTGAGTAAAGTCAGTCAGAATAAAAGCGACAGACACAAAACAATCCTCTCAAAGATACACAGTAAGGTAGCAACAAAGATCAGAAGGCAACATAATGTGGCTCTCAGGATTTTCAAAACTCAGTAGAAACATTAATGCCACATATTAGTGATAGGTACTGGAAGAAGATCCCTCAAAACTCCATCAAAATGGTCTACAAAAAGGATTCCATGACACCCTCATGCCAATTAAGGAAAACTGCATCCCAATTTTCAAAATGCCCTTCCCTCTTTTGGGTTTCAAAGAGTGAAAAATGGGAGAATGCCGAACTCCTTTTTTCCACCACACTGTAGGTCTGTTCTTGGGGTTGAAGATGGAGAGGCTGGGAAGAGAAAGCTCAGACTAATATTAAACTTGATGACTTTGCCCTTAGAAGGAGGTGGCTTTAATACCCAGAAGGGATCAGTTGATGAGCTGGAGAACTGAGATGTCATCAAACTGGGGACAACTTTAAAGTATCTACAGAGCATATTAAAAGGTGAATGAAGACAATAATGGAGAAGTTTTTTGTCTGTTTGGTTTTTTGTTTGTTTTTAGACTGTACCCTGTGAGACTTGTTAAGTCAAGGGATTGACTACACAGACGTATTGAGTTCATTATCCCACTGGGTTAGGAGAACGGGATTGATAACTTCATTTTTGAACATCAGCAAAGTAAGACACAGGGAAGTTAAGTCCTGAGTGTGACACCCAGCAGCTCAAGTGTGGAGGGTGATAGATTCAGTGGAGCATAGTCTGACTCCAGACTTAATGATACCTTACCTATGCCACAGCATTTCTATAGGGGCCAATTATACCTGACCACTGACTTGGTCATAGACAGGCCCAGAATCAGAAGAGGTAGGGAGTGGGATCTATTTATCCTGTGCTCTCTAATTCAAAGTGGGTATTTGGTGCCAGAGAGAGAGTAGAGTGGGTAGTGCATTTGCTTTGCATATGGCCAACTGGGTTCAATCTCAGGTGCCTGATATGGTCCTCCAAGTTCCATAGGAGTGGTTTCTGAGCTCTGAGCCAGGAATAAGCCCTGAGGACTAGCTGGCGTGCCCCCCCCCCCCAAACAAACCAAAAACAGTGGGTATTTTGAGACAATGGCTTAGGACTTTCCTTGCTTCATATACTCCTTCTGTCATGTAAGAAATAAATGCTTTACCAAATAAAGGGTGTTGTGAGGATCCTCCCAGGGTGGGAGAAGCATGCTGCAAGTAGTCTATAGACCAAACATGATTGCCACTCAGTGCCTCTCTTGCAAAACACAATACCCAAAAGAAGAGAGAGAGAACAAGGGGGAATGCCCTGCCACAGAGGCAGGGTGGGATGGGGGGATGGGGGGTGGGGGGAATGCTGGGACCCGTGGTGGTGGAGGATGGGCACTGGTGGAGGGATGGGTACTTGATCATTGTATAACTGAAACCCAAGCACAAAAATTTATAAGCCTATAACTGTATCTCATGGTGTTTCACTAATAAAAAAAATTAAAACTGTGAAGAAAAAAAGAAACAAATGCTTTGGTACCCAGGGCAGCAGGCTTTCCTTCTATTGCTACCACTTGCTGGCCTTCCTGTGAAAACAGACTTCAGACAGCTTCCTGTCAGCCCCTTGAGCTCTAAGAGTCAACCCACAAGGCCTTTCTGTTTCTTTAGCAAAGGAAACACCATGTAAACCATTCACATGTTTGTTTCTGAACGCACAAGAATGAGTGATCTCATCAGGAGAAAGTAAAGGACAACACCAAACCAACTCTGCCTTCAGAGCAGCGCCCTACCTCAGCATGGCGCCAAATCCCTTCAGCTTTGTCTTCTTTTCTGGATCTTCGTTTTCCTCTTTCTGCTTTTTCTGCTTGGCTTTCAGTTTGCTCTTCTCCTTCTTCTTCTCCTTCTCTTTCACTTTTTTGGCTTTCCGGGCTTTATTGTCCCTGTCCTCTAGCTCAGAGGTCCCTGGAGGGGCTGATTCATAGTTCAGAGCTCCTTGGCCGGACTGAGAGCTCTTATCAGACAGACTGTCTGTACAGAACACAAGATCAATACACATGGTCAGGGGCACTTATTGTTATTATAGCAAGAATGGCGAAAATGCAAAATAGAGAATGAATAAAAGGGATTGGGGAATTCTACCCTACCATGTGGCTCACTTGTACTGTTTGAAGAGACAACTGTCTAAAACTGGTTACTTGGAGAAGATGTAATGTAGCTGAGGGCTCAAGGTGGGGGTGTGGGATGGTTGCTTAGACTAGGCTAAAAGGTTGATATGTGGTAAAACACTAATCTCGCTGAGAGCTGGCTTGTTAACCTTGATCAGCTCAGAAAGCCCCCATGCTGGGAAACAAACAAGGCAAGTTTGCTTCCAGGAGAGGTTTGGAGTACAAACATAACCCCTGCTTTGTACCCAATTAATGCAGTCAGTCCTCAGGTTGATACTGCTTCTAATGACTGGAATAAGAATGTCCAGACACGCATACTTAGTGTGCCTATCCTCAGGGTAGATGACAGTTGGTCCTTGTAGGAAAGTGAAGGAGAACATTTCTTAAGTGTTTGCAGTGTAAAATAAATTGCAGATTGTGTTATCCAATTCCATGTTCATTAAGCCAAAGGGCAAAACATATCAGGAAAATGAATTACTTTTAATATCAAAAATATAATTGTGATCCTTAAACCATTTTTCTGTGTAGTTAATCACATACTCTTGCCCATGAGTCGCGGATATGACCAAGATGAAGAACCGTTTAAGGAAACATGATAATTGCCTACCAGCTTCTAATTCTTCGGGCCCATCGTAAGATTTGTCAATGGCTGCTCTGAAGCTCTCGTTGCAGCCTCGGCCACGAACCATGTGTGGCCGGGGTCTGTGGAAGGGAAGTTCATTCTTCCTAACTTCGGCCACTGCTGTCTGTAGGCTCTCCAAGGAACTGGACTTTTTCAAACCCAGAGTTGGACCAAAATCTTTGCCTGGAGACACTGGAAAACAAAGGACCAAGCATTACCCCCTTCGAACTACTGAGGCGGAGTGATGTGGTGGAAAACTTTGTCCCTTCTGGGGCTGGGGCAATAGCACAGAGGGTAGGGCGTTTGCCTTGCACGTGGACGACCCGGGTTCAATTCCCAGCATCCCATGTGGTCCCCCGAGCACTACCAGGAGTAATTCCTGAGTGTATGATTCAGGAGTAAGCCCTGTGCAACGCCAGGTGTGACCCCTATGCAATGCTGGGTGTGACCCAAAAAAAGAAAAAAACAAAACAAAACCTTGTCACTTCTACCATACTTCTCTTTTGACATCTAAAAAAGATAACTTAAATGGATGGGGCTTAGGTTGAGATCCTAGTTCTGCCAATTTTTGCACCTTTAAACAAGCGATTAACTTCTGTGAGCCTTAGTTTTATTTTGTATAAATTTATTTTTAAATGATAATGTGCCATGTATAGAAATAAGTATGTGCATGTATATGCAAATTATGTGAATTTGAGAGGTAAATCAATTGAAGAGATTATATATATGAAAATGCGTCTATATACACCTATAGAGAAACAATTACAGGCACAAACACACAGGCACAGAAGGCTCCTAACAGTCAGTGTTTTTCTAACAGTCTCTCTCCTAGGTACTCTCAGAGCTCATTATCATCACCATTGTTTTCATTATTATTTTGCAACTTTTTTGCATGGAAACAAAAAGCATTATGTGATTATGTTTTCTGAGACTTTGCCTTACTTGTGCAGCTATCAGTGTGGAATGAATTTAATGTATTTAGCCAACACATAAAAAAGAAAGAAAATAACTTGTTCAGTGTATGTTATATTAAATGAATTTTCATTTGGGCATCTAGAAAATGAGCAACTATTTAATATAATATAAAATACATAAAAGAAAATAATAAAACCTGAGTGAACTTTAATCATTTGTTTTCCGGTAGATAATATTTTTCATTAGTGCTATCTTCTTGTCCTATAGCTGCCCCCTTGCACCCAGGCCTTGCCCCCTTTCCCACCCACAGCCAGGCTCCCATTTGTCTGTAATAGGATTAGACTAGATAAATACCAGCAGCACAAGGATTATTTCAAAGTCCAAAGGAATTCTATCAGACTTCTTTTTCAAAAGGGTCAAAGCTCCTGATACTCTTCAGCAAAGAAGGAGATTATTGTCAAGGAGAGGTTACACTTGCATTTCTGGAAATAAAATACTTTACTTTTTTTCAATAGATACAGATTGAGTACAGATTAAATACCATGAATGTGGGGTTTTCACTTTAAGCATTAACACACTTGGGTTCAATATCTACACTATCTTTTCTAACTATCATTTTTGCTTTTGCTGTAGTCACCATACAAATTCGACCTCTAGCTGTTGAACAAATTATTAGGAAACACAAGGAATACAAAAGTAGTACAACAAAGATCCAATTCATATAGGCATATACAAAGTTAAATAACAGCACATATATGACCTTCTATGTACTCTAGGTATGCTAAAAATAATAAAGCAAACAACAATAGTGGTAACAGCTCACAATGCATGGAGTGCTTAGTCCTGCTCAAAGTGCTTCTCTACATTAACATTATTATAATTATGACTATATTACCACAACCATGTTAGTTCCATTTTTCAAGTTAGGAGACAGGCAGACAGGCAGAATAGTGAAATAGCCAGTCAATAGTAACATACTATGTATCAGTAAGTACTGAAAATTGTCCTCAAGATGCCTAACTCCATTTTTTTTCACTCTCTAATGCTTAAAGATGTACTTGCCTTTTCCCCTCTACTTAATTATGATAAAATTACATAAAATGCACTGTACTTTCTCTAACTTTAAGAATACTGGTCTACCTGATCCCCAAGTCTGCTCAAGCAGATAAACTTAAAAAAAAAATGGATGCTGTTTTATGGATAGAGCCTCATCATTAACATGTAGGACACAATTTTTCATTTTTCACAAAATACATGAAGATGATGATAAACAATGCATTTTTATAGGTGCCAGTGTGCCTTCAGTAACTGCAACAGAGATAGACTATGCAAAACAAATTATAAAACATTTCAAGGACACATTTCAGGTCTACTTGCAAGTCATAAATATCAAATATTCATTGCTACTAAATCCAGAAAAAGGCATATTTTTTATATTCCCAGGAAGGATGGTAAATTGAAGGAACAGAAATTAATAAGATCATTTTTTGACAAGAAAGCATAAGACAACATAGAGACTTGAGTTACTGGAACAATAGCAAACGCTTTGGAGTTTATAAACAATATTTTATACCTTTAACCCCTAGAGATATCTAAAAGAAAGTTTGATGGAAGCATGAAAACTATCTGAGAAAGCCTAGATCCTTGGTCAACAATAGTAGCCATATTTTATTTATTAATTGCCATTCAGAAGATTCTATTAGAGCCCAAACTGCGAGTGTGCACATCAACCTTTGCAATAAATTCCAGGGGACATGAAAGTACATAAATCATCCAAGATAAAGGCTTGCTATAAAAAAAAAAGCTAACCTAAAAGTCCACAAAAAGACATATCTGAGAAAAAAATATATATGGTTACAAATTCAAAGCAAACTGAACACAAAGGAGTCAACTCTTTTGCAGGATTTAAAGAGTGTGCAATGAACTCCTTTAACATAAACAAAAGTCACAAGTAAAAGGCATCATGCAAGGTTGGCCAAAACAACAATCTAGCTTTATAGGATTGAGTACAAGTAAAACTAAGCCCAAAGGGTGGTAAAGTTCTAGGTCATAAATGTGCTTATCTGGAAGTCTTAACAGTTAGAAAATTTTTTATGTGTCCCTGGGGAGAAAGTAGGACACAATAGAAGAGGATGTTAGAGAGAAAAACTGCAAAATTACCGACTTCTTAGAACTTAAGAAAAACACTGATATGACTGCAGTGAAAAGTGACAGCACCATGACTAGAACCCCCCAGTTCGTTTTCGTATGTCCCAGGGCTTCTGGCAGAAGATTAGGCTTAATGCTCTGGTAAGAACTATTATGTGAGGGGCTGGAGCGATAGTACAACAGGTAGGGCATTTGCCTTGTATGTGGCCAACCCGGGTTCGATTTCCAGCATCCTATATGGTCCCCTAAGCACTGCCAGGAGTAATTTCTGAGAGCAAATCCAATAGTAACCCCTGTGCATTGCCGGGTGTGACCCAAAAAGGACAAAGAAAAGAATTATTATATGAACTAATGAATATTAGAATTAAATGCCAAAAAATGCTAATAATAATGTAACTTTACCATGTAAAAATGTATGTAATACCGAACAGAGTCTTATGCTTAATCCCCAGTCCCTACAGACCCTTACTCTCAACAATTATAGATGAGGATGACATTGCTTAGGGACTGAAGTTTTTATTTTATATTTTATTTTGTTTTGGGACTGCACTTGGTGGTGCTCAATGCTTACTCCTGGATCTGTGCTCAGAGTTGTCTCCTAGTGGTGCATGGGGACTGTATGTGGTTCTGGGGACTAAACTGGGATCAGCTCTCTGCAAGCCAAACATCATTACCCTGTACTATCCCTCTGGCCTAGAATTGTAGCTTTTAGAATCTGAAAATTCAAGATTCGCTGCTAAACTAATCACTTACACAAATCATATTTTCTGGGTTTTTGATGAAGATAGTAGAGGGTTCTCTGGAGGGATAATAGAAAGTAAGTACCACTGTATCACTGCACTCTCATTGTTATCAATTTGCTCGAGCAGGCACCAGTAACGTCTCACAACAAATTGTGTGACAATTGTTACTGTGTTTGGCATATCGAATAGGTCACGGGTAGCTTGCCAGGCTTTTCCGTGCAGGTGAGATACTCTCTGTAGCTTGCCAGACTCTCCAAGAGGGGCGGAGGAATTATTTTATATATATATATATATATATATATATATATATATATTCACATACACCTCTCAGAGAGCCTGGCAAGCTACCAAGAGTATCCTGCCTACACGGCAGAGCCTGACAAGCTATCCATGACGTATTTGATATGCCAAAAACAGTAATAATGGGTCTCATTCCTCTGACCCTGAAAGAGCCTCCAATATGGCAGCATTGGGAAAGACAAGTAAGGAGAGGCTGCTAATATCTCAGGACTGGGACATATGGAGAAGTTACTGGCACCCGTTCAAGTAAATCAATGAAAAATGGGATGACAGTGATACAGTGATACAGTGATAAGAAAGATGAGCTTGACATACACAAACTTCTTGAAACAATTGATTCATTGACTCTCAAGGACGCTAAAAGAGGATGTTATAGGATGAAAAACATTTCCAAGGTGATAATAAAAATTATTCTTCGAGTGTCATGTATTAAACACTCCCTTTATTTATTTTTTATCCCCTGGGGCATTGGGCCACATTCAACTGTGCTTTGGGTTTACTCCTTGTTCTGTGTTCAGAAATCATTCCTACCAGAGTTTGGGTTACCATATGGGGTGTCAGGAATCTAACCCAGGTATGCAACATGCAAAGGAAATGCCTTGCCTGCTTTACAATCTCTCTGGCCCCAATTTATTTTTAGACCTTATAAATAGGTATCACTGAAATAATTTTTAAAAGGTGTTACAGTATGTTCAAAGAGAGCCTACATGAAAGGTTGCCTTGACTTGATCCTGGAATACTGTCACATACAGTGTCAAGAAAAATGTCAAGATTCTGCCCTCAAATTTGCCACATATGTACTACTCTCTTCTACCAAGAAAATACTGGCATAAAAAGAGTGGGTATTGTTTCACCACCTCCAAGACTGAAAGGATTCAAGTTACCATTTCTTTTGGGCATGAAATTGTGACAAGGCAGTAGAGGGTTCTTGCCTAGGGGGAGAAGGGCCACTACAAAGCAGTTGCTCCAAACATTGGCAAATTGGCAAACCTGGGAGGTAGAAATGTTGATTTTGACAAACAATAAAAAACAAAGTTCTCCCTGAAGAATTGTTTGGATATGGACCTTATTTTCTCTGCTTTTGTC